GATGGTATAGAATTATTTGGGTCCTGGAGCCTTCCAGTAAGATACTGGTAGAGAATCCTCACACAGTGAGAGGAGTGGATTATTGCTTAACTTTCTTTGGTGTGTTTCTAATCTGCCACCAATGGTGGTAATGCTCAACAAACATTCAGAAAAATCTTCTGTGCAGAAAAAAACTGTTTTTAATCCTGCCCTGCCAAAACCACTTTTACTCACTCATTCTTATTTCCCTTTCACATTTTATCTAGTTCCTGCTTGCATCTATTACAACCCTGCTTTGGCTTGCACTGAGGATAGACTTTTAAAACAAGTAAATCATCTGTTTCCCACAGACTGTCATATTTCTTATGTACCCAGTTGCATCCACAACAGATTTTTTTTCTCCCATGTTTCCTAGCATGTTGGCAGGTCTCACAGGTCCTAGTGGTATTACTTCGTTTTTCAGGGCTTTACCTTGATAACTTATTCCTCCTGTAAAATTCTCAAAATTAAAATATTCTGGATGTAAATGATATTGAGCTTCATGTTACATAGAAATAAATGTGTGACATTTTGTTTAAAACTGGTCTGAAAGAACTGATTCTTAATATTACTTCCTCTTTTCAAGTGTCTAAAGTGGCTAGGTTTTTATGTAATGGTTCTCATTATACAAATCCAGTACCTTTAGACTTTAAAAATAAAGTGCACTAGGAATTTAAAGTGCTAACAAGTGGTTTAGTAACACACTACTGCTTGTGATGACAGTGTTGTATAACTTATTTTTCTTAATCTGTGAAAGGCTGTTGTAGGTTTATGAAACAAGTTAGATAAAATGGCCATTTGCACACTAGATAGTTCTTTATGGATTTGCTCGTCAGAAACATGGATTAAAACTAGCTAATACACCCTACCTAGCCTTGTTTTTTCCCTCAGGATTTGTTACAAGATATTTTACTTGAATTCACTGGGTCAGGGTATACCCTGTAAACTTCAGTGTAGATAGAAGGTATTACAATATGTCCAAGCTAAGAGAAAAAAAATTGAGGGTTAACTATCATACATCAAACTCTTGGTTTTACAGAAACAAAATTAAAGCATTCTTTGTCCACAAAGACAGGATTCTTTTTAATTTCTAGCGGTTAGTCATTGTCCTAGGTAAAAAAAAAATGTCTAATATAGTAGAGGTGCACCGGTACATTGGTCCCATATCGGATTGGCACCGATATAGGGAAAATTGATAGTATTGGAAACTGGCTTTTTTTGCCTGATGTAGATGATAATGTGGCTGATAAATGCTCTGTGCACAGCCACAGCATGCATGGGGCCAGAAGCACAGTCTGGGCGCTTGGAGAGCAGCATCAGGCTGGTAAGTCTGTTGTGGGGGGAGGAAAGGAGTGCGAGGGGGCAGATCGAGACCCCCGTGGTGAGGGAGGGAGTGGGACAGGGACAGGCGTGGCTTAGCCGGGGCAGGACAGGTGCGGGACAGAGCCATGAGTGGCTTGTCTGATGGGCATGGGGAAGCTCCCACTGCTGCATGCACCCCGAGAGGGCATGTAGGATGTGTGCTCCCAGATCTGTGTGCGGGGCAGGGTGAGGGCAGGCTCCTGCTGTGGGCTGGGGCCAGGGGCTATGCTGTGTTCTTCCTGGCAGCAGGGCTGGGCCAGGCTGCACTATACTTGAGGCCGGTAGCGGCAGCGCTGGAAGGAGGGGTTGAGGTGAGGGCTATGGTGAATTTTGGGGTGGCTACAGCCCTCCCATAGTGCCCTCCCAGCACTGTTGCTGCCCACCCTGAGCACAGCATGGCTCAACCCCTGCAGCCCACTGTGGCAGCCGACATTCACCTGTGCACAGATCTGGGGACGCAAGCCCCCTGTGTGTCCCAGGGTGTGTGCAGGGTGGAAGTTGCTCTGCTCCCCTCCCTGGATAAGCCACTTGCAGCTCCATCCCATGCCCACCTCACCCCAGCTGAGCAGTGCCTGCCTCGGCCCCACTCCCTCCTTCACCGTGGGGGCCTCAATCTGCACCCCCCCCACACCCCTTCCCTTCTCCAGCCCCTTCCCCCACAGCAGACTTACCAGCCCAGCGCTAGTCTTCAAGCTGCCCAGCTGCATATCGGAATTGGATTGGTATCAGCCGATATGGGTCCTTAAAAATCAGCCATTGGTATCGGCCCAAAAATCTCTATCAGTGCATCCCTATAATATAGTGACTGTTACAACTGGGTATTTTCTTATCTGTGTAAATATCCAAAAAAAATTTTTTTAAGCTAATTGACCTCAATAATATCTTGAGTTAGTGAGCTGCACATCACACAACTGACCCCTTCCTTTTACTATTTTTACATATTTTCCTTCTTGGTTTTATAGGACTCCCTTTGTTCTTCTGTTCTGGGAGATCAGTAGAATTGACTAAACTTCATCTTGTTTTCATTTGTTTCCTTTTGACATTACAATTCCAGTTATTTTGATCCTCCTTCTTATGAAAAGTTTTCTCACACCTCTTAACCATTCTTGCTGTCCATCTTCGAACCATCTTTAACTTGCCTGTTACCTTTCTGAAGTGGGGTGGCCAGAATTGAACACAATATTCCATCTGAGGGAATACATTGACTCACAATGATGTTGTTATAGTTCCTATAGTATTTTTCATCACATTCCTTATGTATCGTTCTTGTGTTTAGCTTTTGACTGTTCTTGCACAGAGGGGAAGTTTCCATACAGTTGCAAACAGTGATATCTAGCTTGTTTCCTTGCATTGTTATAATATCTTACTAGGCTCTAAAGCTAAAGAATAGTTTGAATTCTTCTTTTGAAGGTACATCATGATATGCTGGTCCATATTTGCATTTTTTCTGCCATGGTTTAGTATTGGCTATTTGCCTGGATTTCTGCACAGTTTTGTCTTCTCCAGTCTTGAAGAATCTAAGCAATATTGTATTATCTGCAAACATGGCAACCCTACTACTCATTTCCTTTCCCAACTGATTAATATGTTAAAGACAGATATGATATGTTAAATACAATGTCGTGAGCTACATGTCATACAGTTTTTTTTAATGATAGTTCCAAACAATCAAGAGAGAGCCAAAGATTATATGTTTTAATTTTCTGACTAATGGTTTCTTACAGGAAGAAAGTTGGTAAATTCAATCTAGTTACTCATGAATAGGTAAACATATAAAAAAGGACATGGCTCCAATTATGTGAGAGGCAAGGATTGATGTGGGTGATATCTTTTATTGGACCAGCTGCATAATCTACTGTTACTCTGCTGCAACACTACTACTGCAGTTAGTACTCTAGGGAGGCCAGAGACTGAATCAGTGTGGGGGAATGTATGCGTCTTACCTTCAAATCTCTCCTTCCAAATATTTTCTGAGACATTTTGCGTGCTTATTGTGGTGAAACTTCTCTGCTGCTCCCCAACTGCCTCTATTTCTTTTGTGTAAGTATCATAACCACTAACCCCTGGAACCTTGGCAAGCGAATTAACTTTTCATTCCCCCTGTCAGGAATCATACAATACAGACACAGCCTGTCACCTGATTGCTGCTAGTTGCATTTCTGGGTCACTCAAAAGATTAACATTACCCATTACACTAATACTGTCCTTTTCCAGTGATTTAGCTTCCAATGACTCCACACAACCCTCCACTGACTTAGGAAACTGTCATGTAACCTGACAGTATTCCATAGTTTTCAAATATAATTCTTAGCTTGCCATAAATAAACAGTTCAGATTTTAAAACAAAGTTGTTTTAATACAGTTTGTTGTTGTTAAAAAAATAAAAGACAAAATCCAACAAGAGAAAAGTGTTTCATGCAAAATGGCTTATCTGTCATTTCATTATTCAAGGGTGGTATTGAAACAAATCATTTCCTAATTTGTAGTTTTTCTTCTTCTGTTATACTTCCTCATTTGCTTTCTGAGTATTGCACTATAGTTTTGACAAAGTAATGGGGACAGAAAAGAAAGTTAAAGCCAGCAACGAATTTAAATATGTTTCTGGTTGTTTTATTCTTTCATCTTCAGAGTCCTGTGCATATATTGACAATGGCTCTGTGATTTCCTTCTTCATCACAAATTAAAATAAATGGCTTCCTGCACTGGTAAATAGTATTTAATCACCTTTGTTGTGTGCTTATGAAAGGATCATTCCAGGTGGCCCTCAAGCAAGAGAATTGGAGTTAGCCAATCAGGTGTTGCCAAAGAAGAGCAAAATATGTTTTGATTTTTGCAGTGTCTTAATTTTTTTCATAAGTAGTCTATAGTACAGTGTCATTCACTCCTATTTATGACTATTTCCAAGTCATTTAAAAGGTGATTCATAACTAACCTGCTTAGAAATTAGTCCACCATTATCAAGAGGTTGCTGTGGTTGCTCTAAAAACTAACAATAGAAAGTTTTCATAGTATAATCACAGTCTAAATTAATAGTTTGTAGTTCACATTAACCTCACAAGTAACTAAAAACGTTATAGTTGAGAGAGATACTAGACTAACTTGAAAGCATGGAATGCAGTCCCTTAGGTCTGAGGGGGAAAAAAAGCAGATGTGGACTCAGACAAGTTAGAACAATTGCTTTTGTTTAACATCATTATGTTAATGAATGTGATCACTTAAAACAAGGGCAGTTAACTTGTGAAGGAAGCAGAACATCAAATAAAGAAGAGTTGCTGTAGTTAAACCTAATTATGTTAATAAATAAGATAATTTGAAAAGTAAGAAGCCCAATATCACTTGTGGAGCGGATAGAGGTTTGCAGCTAGAGCAAGTATTTTATAACGAGCCACAAAACCATACCTGCTTATGACAACTTCTCTTTGCTTGACAGATTAATTGCTGATTCACCTCACAAATCTTGCTTTTTGCTTATTCCTTAGGCCATCAACAACAATACTATTCCAACATGGACGATACTTATACAATTATATATATTCAGAGATATGCAATATGTGTTTTCATTGAGTATGTTATCATCATACTGTTTTGACTAATACCTGGATTCTTTTTGTTTTCACAAGATTCATACAGGTTTACAACATCAAATAATTTGGCCTTGTCAACCCAACTGCCACCCACTGGATGATAAACTCCTGCCAGAACTGCTAAAGGAAGCAGGATATGTTACCCATATGGTAGGAAAGTGGCATTTAGGCATGTACAAAAAAGAGTGCCTTCCAACCCGCAGAGGATTTGATACATACTTTGGTAATGAACAGATTTACTACTATTTGCTAGTACATGTATGTTTGTGTGTTTGGTATTTTAAGCTACTTTTACAATCTATATTGAGAGAGTAAGTGAGAGAGAGAGAAGAAAATAGTTGATTATTTTAAGAACAGCAGATTTAAAATTGTCATATCATCAATCAGTGTTTTAGCATGTCTTTTATAATTCTCTAAACCAGGGATCAGCAACCTATGGCCTGCCAAGCGGTGTTATGTGCCCCTTGAAGCCAGGATGTTGGTGGCGGTTGTGTGTGGGGGGAGCAGCAGCCAGTTCAGGAGACCAAGGGAGCAGCAACCTGTCTTCAGAATGAGTTGCGCTATTTGGCCTGTTGGTCCTAAAAGATTGCTGACCCCTGACTAAACCAGAAAATAATCTCTATAAATACATGCCAACATCTTGTAGACCACTAGAGAAAAAGCTTTTATTTTTAAATCCACCAAAGCAACTGTTTAAGATTCGTGTTTAAGTTGTCATAGAGGAACCATTCAAATGAATTTCTCAGTTTCCTCATATTTCCAGCTTAGGTCAGACCATTTTTTATTCTATAAATTGTATTGGTTCTTTCTTAAAAGTCAATTTTAGAGAAATAGGAAGTGGTTTTGGTCGCTTTTTTTTCTAATTGCAATATCTGCTATTTTAATTAGGTTTCCAGATAACAGAGTGAGAAAGATGGTATAAAACATCATCCCTCTATAAAACCACATTTAAAAAAAACATGTTTCCTATGTTCGCTGACAGACTGTTAACATTAGTTGCAGGCAATCAAAGTTGTATACGAAGTGCACAACATTATTTTACTTGCATGTATATTGATAAGATTTAGTGACTTACACATTTTTCCTAAAAGTTACATCTGTAAAAACATTGTTTTTAGAAATCTCAAAATCTTCTTTTCTTCGGCAGTTTCTGCTTTCTGTGGCATTTTGTACATAAGCTGTATGGTGGAACTTTTGCACAAATAGTACTTCAGGAAGCTGTTTGATTTGGGGTCAAATCAGGTTTCTGACATTCTTATTAGTTTTAAATGAAGTGGACTAAGACAAGTGCATATTGTGCAGGGTCATAAATTTTGAATGGACTCTGCCTGCTCCCTTGAAATTGATGTAGCGATGGTGCTTGTTGAAGTTATGAAGTTTTTGAGGAGTCAGAAGGCAGAGAAATTGGTATGAAGTTGCCCAAAAGTTAGAAAGGTAGACTTTTGGTAAAAGCAGAATGTACAGGAAAGAGCCTAATTTTGGTATAGTTAATTTTCCTTGAGAGCTCTATATTATTCTGTAAACACCAGTTTGTCTCTTTGACCAGTTGGTGTCAGCAACGGATCAGAAATTACCATATTGTTTACCTGAATAACATTTCTGCATCAGGTCTCATTCTGTGAATGTAGAGATGATTATTTCAGTCACTGTATAGATAAGCATTCTGAAATGACAAATCCAATTTATAAAACCATAGCAGAAATTCTTAGTAGCTATGTTGACTGTGCTAAATGTCCATCATTTTACTGTTAATGTTTTGAATTTATTGTTTTGTTTTGATTAATGATTTATATGCCAATTCATATTTAGAGTTGAACTGTTTAACTAAAAATTTTCTGAGTTTGTTTATTTTGAAACAAAAAGACTCTTATACTTTAGTAGCATTAAGTAAGTATAGAGGTAAGAAATGTTAAGGAAGATTATATTAGACAAACTCTTGGTGATTATTTTTTTTTCTGAGGGGGGACACAGGCAGTTTGGACATCATTAGCCTCAGTATTTGTCACTGTGACTATTATTGGCAGACAGGACTTTGTAATCTGGGTGACAATCTCTTGCCATTGGTCACAGTTTTTCACAAAGCAGATAATTTTTGCTGGTACAGGAGCATAAAGTCTGGATTTAAGATTTTGATAGAACTGCTTTCTCAAAGGTCTAGAGCCCAGGGGGTGAACACTTCTGTTACTCGTCCCCTCCTTTTCTCCTGCTGCTGGAGCAGCAGGAACAAAAACATGGCAGTGAGCAGTGGTAGGGGGGAAAAGGGGATGAGCAGTGGCAAGGTTCAGCCCCTGGCCTCTGGAGCCATGTGGCTCTGGCCACAGCCTACCGTGTCAACTGGTCTGAACTCGGAGAGCTTGCTGTCCACGTGGAGCTCCAGCAAAGCTTTTCTGTGTAGCTCTCGGCCTGTTCCTGATCGTAAGGTTTGGCCCTTTTTGTAAAAAAAATAAATAAATAAAAAAAATGTTGAGCACTGCTAACACAATCTGTGACCACAGCAAGTCAAGGACAGGGATGGGCATTGCCCTGCAGTACACCTGTGGTCACAGGAACCTGTTGGGTGGTTGAATTGGCAGTTATCATACCAGGATTTGAATTCTCATAAGGCAGTGGTTCTGAACCAGGACACCATGGTATGCATGTTCCTGCAGCACAAGCCAGCTCTCCTTCCTGCTTTTGGGTTATTGGAGAGTCCTAATGCAGGAGGAGCCACACAGATGCTGCAGCCCTTCCCAGGCTGGCTGCATACAAGATATGGGGGGCCATTTCACCCGGAGGCAAAAGCATGCGGTTAAGAAACCATTTAGGTAAGCTGAACACAACAGCGGTTCTTAACTGCAAATGCTACCACATTCAGAAATGTTGTTGAGGGTGTCCTGATGCTGAAAAGGTTGAGGACCTCTGTCATAAGGTATCTTGACAGTTGCAGTTATGGGTTTTGGAATCCTATTATTTGGAGAACTTCAAAAAGCCATCTGAGGTCAGCAGAGTTCAGTGCTTTTGAGAACCTGGCAAAAATTGCCATCTAAAATAGCTGTTTGTCTTGAGCATCTTTGAATAGTCACCTTGCATAGTGTATGAGCTCTGACATGCTTCTCCACTTAAAAAATCCAGTTTATTTGGTTCTTAACAGGGGAATAAAGGCTTTGATCCTGTTTAACAGCAATCTGCTTAAGATTTTTCAATGTTAATTACAGAAGACGTGTCACAACAATTGTTCATATTTTGTCACAATAATTGTTCATATTTTGTCCTCATCTCCAAGAAATAAAATCAGGTTATCAGGCCAATAAACCCCTGGTTGAGAGCTGTTCCATGAATCTTAGTTTTGTTACTCATATCAAAGAGAAAGTTTGTTGCGCTGGCTCAGTACTTCGGTCCTCAGTTTGGAGTCAGTGCTGTGGAACTTTTTTAGTTGTCCTGCAGCTTGTTTTAGATCTTCCCTGGTGAATGGGTTGTGGTTAATGAGATCAGTTAAGCCCAGAAATGAGATCAGTGAGCTCAGTTAAGCCCAGAGAGATCCTACCTACAATGAGTCATACATCGCTACCACTTGTGCCTGAAAGTATTGCCTTTGTTCTTCTAGACGTTTGCTCCAGCTTGATGTTGGGCCACCACATCTTTTCTTTATTCTTATTGTATTTTGATAATATTTTATTTAAGTAAATAAATCTCTGTAAATAGATCTCTGACACACCCTTCACATTTTCTTTTTTTCTTTTTTTAAGCAGTTCAGCTTACTTAAAGGTTTGTTGTATTATGCCTGTATTTTCCTTAATTTCTTGATTCCCTGACCTTTTGGAAGCACCCAAAACTTTAGAGGGCATATGTTAGACCACTTTAATAATTCTAATATGATAGAGGGCTTAGTCCATCTGTCTATAGTGCTCTTGGAGCATTCTGATTAGTTACTGAAACAACCAATCGGAGTGCTCCAAGAGCATTATGGACAGGAGGTGGCAGCAGCGTGGTGGAGCACTGCTATGATGGCAAGGACAGAGGGGACAGAGCGGGGCAGTGAGGCCAGAAGCACTGGCCATGCCCCCACCAGCTCTGCTTCTTGGAGGCGGCGGCGGCATGGGGTGCTGGCAGAGGGAGATGGAGGGGATAGCAGGGCAAGCTCCCTCCCTTCCCCCTGCTCCTGGGAGGCAGCGGCACATTTGGCAGGGGGGGGTGTTACGGTTAGTGTTAGCAGGCTTCCATCCCTGCCCCCTTGTCATTATTCCCCTTGTCATGATGGGAAATTCACTAGTAGAGTCATAGTCTTTCTGAGTGTTGTGTTACTTTTTAGGTTCCAAGTGGTGTTTACAATTTTGATGATTATGCAATTTCCTCATCCAGTAACCTTGCCCAGTTGACCATCCAGACAAGTGAATTATCTTTCTGCTGCTGAGTTGTCAGCAATCTGTTCTTTTGTGAGTATGTTGAACTTGTCTTCTTGGTGTTTGCTGAATAACTTATAAACTGGGCCTGTCTAAGATAAATAGTGCTGTACAACAGCAGCTCCCAAACTCTGACAGAATGTGCACCACCAATTTAAAACAATACCACCTTAAGTACCACCAGCAAATTTTTCAGTTCAACCTTAAGTACCACCAGCAAATTTTTGTCATATAAAGTAATTATAAAAAATCTGTTAATGCATACCAGTAACAGGCAGTCTGTATACCACTGGTGGTACCCATACCACAGATTGGGAACTGTTGCCATACAAAATGATGATGGGAGGGTTGCACTAGGGTCTTGTTTTGCCATAACCACAAATACCATCATTAGTTGTCTGGGTTCCAGAGATCTGGGTTTGACCAGATGACAATGACAGAGTTCAAATATGATTTTGAGCCTGTGATGGTGTTGCAGAGCACTCAGGTGCCCTGTGCCTGAGAGCAGAAGAACAGCTCAGGAGAGACCCCTAGTGGCAAGAAGGGGGAAGCTCAGCTGCCAGTCACCAGGGCAGCCAGAGTCACAGGTGCAGGTTGCTAGGGCAACCAGTGAGACCAGCTGACAGGAAGGGGCGGGTCCTGGCCCATATAAGTCCAGGCAGGAGGCCAGTTCCCATCTGGCGACCGAGGGAGGAGGAGCTCGGCTACTACAGACAGAGGGGAGAACTCTGACTGTGTGAGCGTTCCCTGGTCGCTGCTGGCATTGGAGTGTTTTTCCTGGTAGGGATTGAATGTTGTTTGGCTGGATGGTCTAGCTTTTTTATGTTATAGCCCAGGGGCTTTG